ACCTCTGAAGCGGTTACTTGCTTTGGAAAAAAAAAATTATCAAGTCTTACGCTCCCCATTGCGTGACTTAGTCCTCTTGGTTTGAGCCCCTCTCTACAACCGCACTTTGCGCTGCCGCTTTGGCTGCTGGCGGTGCCTGGCTCGCAGGCTCTGGTGCTGGGTTTTGCTGTTTGATCTCCCCTCCCCACTGCAGGTTTTGTCTTCCCCTTAGAAGCAGGATCAGGCGCTGCCTTTGTAGAGCTTCAGCCACAGAAAGCGCTTTCCCCGCGGCGCTGCCTGCTGCGTCCCGCCTCCCTCCCAGGAGCTGAGCTCCCTGCCTGGGTTTCTGATGGCGTCTCCATCCCCGAGGGCCGCCCCGGGTGCCTGCAGCACCTGGAGAAGCAGCGCGATGCACCTACGCTGCGCGCTTGCCCATCAGTTACTTTCAGCACAGGTCCCCACTATGTTGTTTCCCATCCAAGTGGTTTTCCAGCAAGGCCCTGGTGCTGTTTTGTTCTCCAAAGAGCAGAGAAGTAATTTACCTGCATCTGGTGGTTAATGAACGCTACTGAGATCCCGGGTAACCCAAACATCACCCTCGCTGTATTGCATGTCCTGCGGCTTAGGGGGAGCGCTCAGTAACCTCAGTTTATTTCCTCGCAGCACCTTTGTCGTTACAAAGCTTTCTGGATTGAGCTGAAGCCGGACTTTGCTCCGCAGGCTGCTCCCCACACCGGGATGGTTGGTGTTGCAGCCCCCGAGTACAAGTTGACTCCAACTGTCCGGTCGCAGGAGAGGACACCGTCCTTTGGGTGAGGCACCCGGGGCCATCTTCTACCACCAGTGCTACCCCAAGGGGTGCGGATGTCTTTGGCTCACCATCAACAAGAATTTCAGCCCTTCTCCTTCGGGGATGCTCCATCCCTGGGCGTCCTTTTGGGAAGATCTCGGCCACGATCCGGCAGCCGCGATGTGTTTCTCTAGATGTGCTGCCAGGCGGGGCAGCACCGAACCAAAACGGCACTGTCCCTGCCTTTTGGCATGGAGTTTCTGGACTCCTTCCGCAGTTTTGGGCTCTCCATCACCTCCTCTGGGGGAGGTAAGTCTCTGGGACTTCTGCTTCTTCCGCCCACAGAGAAAGGAGCCCCGGAGCCGCCTGTTCCACCCAGGATTGCTCCCTGCGGGGATGTCCCTGAGGCCACGGCTGCATGGCCGCTTGTAGGTCTGTCTCCTCGGCCCCTTCCGAGACCGTCACCGTGCCTCAGATCACGCACCAAAGCTGGGGAGACGGACACTTTTGGTGGGTTTGCGCCAAGATGTGCTCAGCACCACGTTGGAATCACGCAAAGGGCTTCCCTCCGTTTCTGCTCCCCTCCCTAGCGAGACTCGAGAAGTCACCCACCTCTCCGCTGCCCGCCGACCTCCTTCCTCTGCTTTTCACAGCTGTTCCCAGGATAATGTTTCCCTTGCAATGTGCCCACCCCTCTCGGGTGGAAGGAGAAGGGTTGAAAGTGACACCTTTTGTCCCATTTACTGTGGTGTTTTCTGACCCACAGCTTTTTTGTGTGTAAAACAGCACCGGGGGGGTGAAGGGCGCAGCAGGGATTCTGCAGGACCACAGCCTTTGCCTTCCCTTGGGGAGGGCATTTCCAGCTGGCCATTGTAACTTGGAAGCTCACAGAAATGACAGGAGCCGAGATCCCAAACATATATTGATGTTTCCTCTTGCTAATTTAGGAGAGGGTCTCCTAGGCTGATGCATTGCAAACGTATTTTCCTCCCAAATCTTCCTAGGAGGAGCTGGGGAGCCCCTGGGGTCCATCCGCCACTGCCGGAGCAGACGCACCTCGGCCAAGGCCCCAGCTGCAGCGCCCATCTGCCGGCCCGGGGAAAGCGCCGGAGCCAAAGGAGCGGTCGGTGTCTCCTGGTTGGCTTTCACCGGGCAGAGGGGCAGCTGGTGGGGTAACGGCTGGACAAGGTGACAGCCCCGCTCCGTCGCGGGGACGGGCCGGAGAGGTGAGTGTGTCCATGTGAAAACACCCACTGGGCACCGCTGACGGCTCCCCGTGCCCCGCAAACGGCAGCCGAAGTCTGGGGTTGTTAATTCTGCTGCTGTTGAGCTCCCAGGTGGGTCAGATCCCTCCTATCTTTTAGTTGAACCAGAACCAAAGCCAGCAAGTTCCTTGCTGAAAGCAACCGTTCTGGTGGGATTTGGCAAAGCACAATTCCCCCTTTAAAGAACATCCCACACGGGAGGTGACACCAACCTTTACCAAGGGGTTTCCGTAAATTCTTTGTGGATTTTGTTGCTTGCAAGTATCGTTTTTTTTGAACCCAGATCCTGAAAAGGTGTTTTACACACTCACCCCCGTGTCCCTGTGCAGCAGCAGGCTCTGCCGAGGCAGCTCTTCGATGCGGGTATTGGACAAACGAGTCCATCGCGTTGCCCCCACGGACCAGATCAGCTCCCTTTCAGGTTGGTGAAAAACATATTTGGCATGGCTGAGATCAGGTTTTTGTTCTTCATTTTGAAGAGGAGGAGCAGGATCTTAACTGCAATCAAGATTAATTGGATTTATCTTCAAGAGCAATGGGAAGCCTTGGCTAGAGGGAGGCAGGATCATCCCGGGGAGCAGAGCGAAGCTCGAGGTCTGAGGGATTTCCCTTCGCACGGGGGAAGGTCAAAAGTACATTTTAGGACACTCGATGAGCGATCGTGCTCCCGACATGGCGGCTGAGGATGAGATGCTTCAGCAGTGACTCAGAGGAAGAAGGTAAATAAACACTTTTTATTTCAAACACCAGATTAAATTCCTTCATGTCTGGATCATTCAAGGTAAAGCTCCTGTAATCTCCCGGTCGTGATCCGCAGCCCGTCGTCTGGTGGCTGCTGCGCCCGCCGCGGGAGCGAGGGGACGTGGGGGGGTGGCACGGAGGGCGAGGGACGGCCGGGAGTGCAGCGCAGCTCCTGGAGACACCGGTGTGGGTCATCCCCACCTGAGTGAAATCGTTCTGGGAATTCATGGACTGAAGCTGAAGGAGCTGAGATTTTACCTCGACTGCTTTGCAAGGGGGAGGCTGAGAAACAAGACTGTGAAAAATGCGATTGTGATACGGAAAACCCCAGCCCCAAGCCACAACATCTGTACTTTTGTACGTATTTTTGCACGCTCCGCAGAAGCCACATTTCATACCGAGTTCTCATCCGTGCTGCGAAGCGCCTGTACAGCACCGCGCTCCTGCTCCCACCATCTGCTAACAGCCCCCTCTCCTGATCAGGGGGGGCAAAAAAATAAAGCAGGATCATTCCTGGAAGCTTCTCCTGAGGTTTCATGACATCCCGAGCAGGCGGCGAGGGCGGACGCGTGGCGCAGGCGTCGCCGAGGGCCTGTGCGCGCTGCTGGGGTGAGCTGCAGAGCAAAGCCTCCACCGCGAGCGTCCCCGGCCCCGCCAGCCTGACTGGAGAAGGGCCATGGCTCTCCGGCCCA